CATACAAAATGGTCATACTAGTCACACTGATTGTATTTGAAAGGTGTGACCAGTTTGACGAGTTTGACTAATATGATAAAACTGGTCAAACTGGTCACACCGGTCAAACAAAACTGATAATGAGTGTTAATTTTATTTTTCCAGGTTCTTTTTGTATATGATTTGAAAGACATTCATCAGACTCCCAAGATTACAATGAAGTGTTAACCATATGAAACCATTCGGTTAACTGAAAAAATCGAAAGAAGAATAATTGAAAAAATTGAAAGGGTTCTGAAGAAGACATGAATCACCATTGAAGCAAAAGATTGGTCTGAGATAAAGCGCAACAAAGAGGATGATATTTCAACGGGTAGTTACTATAACACAAACACCGAGCTCGAGTTGAGACCTCGTTTTTTAGAAGAGAATGTGGCTTTTTCAATGCATGAGGAGGTTCCTGCTACTCCTAAGGAGTCGGTTCAACAGAGTAAACAACCGATGCGAAAAAAGAAAAAAGGATGTTAAAAGTTCATACATTGCCTTTGGATCGACAGATCCACCTTCCAAAAAGCAACGAACAAAGAGATAAACCAAAGGTCGAAAGGGAAGAAAGGGAATCCATGAGGAACGCCAAGAAGTAACGGTGCCTCCAGAGGAACATCAAGATTCTTCTTCATGAATCCATTATCCTCTTTTTAATTAGTTGTATTTGAATCATGTGTACTCTCCAAACATCCTTTTAATCATATATATTTTATCGGGTAAAATCTTCATGTCTTGTCAAACCCGTCAAACTCTTCAGTACCCGTCAAACTCGTCTTCTAACACATTGGCTTAGGGTAGGAAATAGTTTTTTCCCGCATGAATTACATATAACAAAAACTCGTTAAATATGTTATAATGACCCCTATACACCACACAGAAGCATCAGAACTTAATTTAGACCAACGATTTATTTTCACAAACCGTCACACCAGTCAAACTCAACACACCGTTAGTACCCGTCAAACTCGTCGCACCTTATCGGTTTTCGCAAATTTGGCTACTGCAAACTATAAACTTATCAATTATCATCTCAGTCATCAAGTATCTTACGATGAATCTAAATCTAGCTCTCAGTTTTTAACACATTTTTGTTTCTCACAATGCATGTTCTCCCAAAAAAAAATTTTAAAGTTAAGTTTGGTTCGATTCCAGAAGATTTGGTGTTATAAAAAATGCATTAATAGATGAAGAATGAACATAATTCAACAAAAAGTCACACTTTCGTCATATTTCCATCTTCATTGTGAATACATATTCAATCTCTAAAAAAGGTCTTAACAGAAGAACCACATAATCTCACCGTCAGACTCGTCGCACCTTCAAACTCGTCGCACCGTCACACTAATCAAACCGTCGCACCTTATCGAATTTCGCAAATTTAACAATTGTAAATTGTAAACATATTGATTATCACCCCGATGAATAAGTATCGTGGATTGAAACTAATCCTAGGTCTCTAAATTTAATATCTTTTGTTTTCTTGACAATGCATGTTATCTCATGTGAAACCCTAAAGTTTTAGTAGAGTTTGTGTAACACATTGTCTTAGCGTAGAAGATATTGTTTTTTCAGATGAATTACGATTAATAAAAACATGTTAAATATGTTATAATAACTCATATACACCACATCGATATTTTTTTTGCATGTTCTATACACTACACTGAACCATCAAAACTTAATTTACACCAACGATTTGTTTTCACAAACGGTCAACCCGTCAAACTCGTCACACCGTCAGTACCCGTCAAACTCGTCACACTTTATCGATTTTCGT